TGCCTTCTAAAAGAAGCTATCGAAGGAAAGATAGATGGGCGGATAGAAGTGACAAGAAGACGAGGAAGAAGACGTAAGAAGATGCTGGATGACCTTGGGGACAGAAGAGGATACTGTCATTTGAAGGAGAAAGCTCTAGATCGCATTAAGTGGAGGAATTGTTTTGAAAGAGACTGTGGACCTGTCATCTTGACAGATTACTGATGATGATGATGATTCAAACTTTACATATGAAGGATTCCTATAGGACCAAAATAATTTTATGGTTTAGAGCTGGTAAGATGAAACTTTTTGATGTAGGGTAGCATTAACCCTTTCACAGTCAGGTTCATGTTACACAGATGAAAATTAAATATTAGTGTTTTGTAGTGATTACAAGAATTCATATCTTTGAACATTTAATAGAGTTTTTGCATGCATTTATGGAAATCTAAAATAATTATGGTTTCACATAAGAATATACCACACATTCTGACACCCTCAGAGTTTCTGAGTGAGCAGTATTCTTGAAAACAAGAAATGCATACAGCATAAGCTTGGTGGAATATACCACAATCGTTTTTTTAAATGATGATGACAAGTTTCAAACTAGTAATAAGAAGGCAGGCAAACACTGGTGGACTCTGCTGCTGTAGTTAACTCTCCACTGTGTTCTAATTAGAAAGGCATGGGAAAGTTTTTAATGCGACCAACAGACAACTGTGTTGTATCATGAGAGGGTCACAATATTGAGATATGGAAATTTGTGTCATAACCATGAAAATTAAACAGGGGGCCAAAACTTGTATGTAATCTCTCAGTAATTAAACATTGTTTTATATTTCCTGCATAGCGGTTTTACATCTTTTCATAGCGGCATCTCAACTATATCTCCATAATTTATGAATCTCATAATAACAGGCTTGCACTGCACTGTCTCCACATATCATTCGTTGCTGTACATAAGGATAATTAACGTTATATACAATATTTTCACTCAGGGACCATATGTTTTGACCAAAGTGATCATTAGATATATTATTCCCTTGTCTTATAGGTTACTTATATATTAGGCATGTGCAAGTCTCTAATTTTGTGATCAAAGAAAGAAAGAAAGAAAGAAAGAAAGAAACTTCTCAATATAGATTCAAACTTTAATTCTTCAGGCTTGAAACTCAAGATATTTCTGTTAACTGCTTCTGCTTTGTGCAGCATGGTCTAACGTCAAAACAAATCAGTTACCATATTTACCACAGTGGAAGCAGAGTGAATATAGCAGTACACTGAAAAAAATCTAGTGTTATAAATTACTGCAGTGAAAAAGTTGGTTTACTAGAGATTATACTCAGTGTCACCTCAAATTTCAGTTTTCCCAAATTCTTGTCTTAACCCCATCTCAAACTGAAAAATGTATTCTTGCACATGCCTATTATATACACTATATAAGTTTAATATTTTTTATAACTTACAGAAGAATATTTATAACAGTTAGTTTGAAATGAATGTGATAGAAATATAAAAATTAAAATTTTAATTCTTACATAATAATGTTTATGAGTTTTGCAAAAATATGTTTCACAATTGGTTCCAAATAATAAAACATAATAAAAATATCTCACAATAATTTCATATAACAGACATTTAGCCACACTGTTTTGCAATTATCAATTTAAAGAATACTATGAAAGGAAATTTATGTGTTAAATTAAATCTCACGTGTTTACTTTACTGTTTTTATGGTTTCTTATTTATTTATTTACTTATTTATTTATTACTTCACTCTTTATTTTTTATTCATTTTCATTCATTTATTTATTTATTTACCTTTTGTTTCTAAGAATCTCTAATGTACTATGTATTTCCATGGTAATACATTATTAACATGAATAAGTTTATATGAAGCAGTATTTGTGAGCATCAGCACAGCAATAGGGTATACTTACATGCTTAAAGCATATGATTAAAACACTGAAGGTGAAGTGGAATTCTACATAAACAGAAATACTGTACTGCATTATAGCATTTTTAATCTGGAAGTTGTCAGGACCTTTTATGTTGATGAAAGCAATATAGAAATATAGAAAGTACTTCCAGAATTCCTTATAAACAGATGGTATTATATATATATTAGTAACAAGTTCATTATAGAAGGATGCTGTGTACCTTCATAGCAATTGATAAATGGGTTTCCAGTGAGACCACTTGGACACTGACATACAGCTCTGTGGTTCTTGGCCTGGCATTCTGCATTGGGTGCACATGGGTTAGACACAGTGCATGGATTGATACATTGGTGGTTGAGGCACGTATCACTCTGAGGGCAGTCATCATTGATCTTGCAACCTGGTTCCTCAGCTGCAATATTCAAAACACATGAGGATGAACTCATAGACACAACAGTAATTACCTTTTTGGTCCAATACCCAACATACCTAATATATATGGAATATAAAACTGGATCATGAAAGGTTACAACATTAACCACACAGAAGCTCTCAATCCAAATGAACGATTCATAATATATATCAGACTAAGATTTAGAATTTTGAAACTGAGAAAAATTTGAGAGAATTTGTTTATTTGTATTAATGTTTTCATCACATTTAGAACTAAATTTTATGTACAACTGGATCAAAACATGTTACTATTATGGCACAAACTATAATCATTGCATAATGAAAGAGGATGTTGTAGTATCATATCTTACATCACTTTTCTAAGTCAGAACTAGAGACGCTAAGAGCACAAATTTTTAATCCCTTTCTCCTTGTACAATAAAAAATATAACTACAGCTATCATAAGCTTGATGAAAATGGATCACCAGCATATTAAAGTATGAGTTCAAGTAAAATATCCAGTATTTGAGATATTTGGTTATGCTTCTTACTCTAGACAATAAAATCTGCAAATTTAATATTCATAATATGCAAGAGTTTGGCATTACTTTGATACTTTTAAAAGAACATTATTTAAACATGTGACTTTTAATTATGTCCATCCAAGGGAATATGGTTCACATCAATAACACACATATAATCAAAAAGCTGGAACTCTGCTATATTTCAGATAAAAAGGTTAAATTATAGAAACTATTACGAAATAAATTTAACTGCAAAATTTAACATATGAATATCATTCAGACATAATACAACAAACATTATGATGAATATTTATTATAATAATCCACACTAAATTATTTTCCAAAAGAGTTAATATGTACTTGATTATGTCTATTAATTGTAACACAGTATGAAAATTATACTTTAAAATTAAACTGGTGTGCTGCTGTTTTGACAAGAAAAATGTGAATATCTAAATTATACAAATTGCATGGAAGGAATCAAACTGCTAACAACCTGAAATATGTCAGTGGTTAATCTGTGCTTTCATTAACGCTAGTCACTAAATGTGTGAATTTGTCAGTGATGTTAATGAAGGCATAAAAATGTTAATGATGCTAGCCATTTAAATCTTCCAGTACCATTCTGGTGACCTGTAAAATACATAACAAATGTTAATATTGCAAAACTGGTTCATATGATTACAGAAATTACACAGTTCCTGAGATTTGCTATAAGCAGCTTTCATTTAAAAAACTGCTCACACTGCAGATTTAATTTCATTTTAATTTTTACTCATATTGTAAATCAATATATATTGTACAGAGTGCATAATTTTTCAGCAAAGTGTGATCAACAGAATTACTAGGTTTTTGGACTTTTTCCATTGTCCAGAATTCTAGGTAATAGAGGACACGACATTTTGGAAACTGGATCTGTTTCTGTCTTCCTTTCTCTCCTGAAGATGGAAACAGATCCAGTTTCTGAAACGTCGTGTCCTCTATTACCTAGAATTCCAGATGATGGAAAAAGTCTAAAAACCTAGTCATTCCATGTGTCATCCACCATCGTCAGAACCCTTTAGAATCTATAAAGTGTGATCAAATTGAGGAGGATGAGATGGTTGGGGCACATAGCATGCATGTATCATATAGATAAGAGATGCACAGAGTTTTAGTTGAGAAACATGATGAGCAGAGACTACTTTGGCAACCAAGGTGACAATACAAACATAATATTAAAGAGAACCTTAAATAAATAGAATATTAGGATATGAATGGAGTCATCTGACTCAGGATAGGAACCAATGATGAGCTCTTGTGAGCATGGTGACAAAACTTTGGGTTTCATAAAAAGCAGGCAACTTCTTGAACAGCTGAGAGACTATCAGCTGTTGAAGGACTCTGCTCCACAAAGTTAGCTACTTTGCTACACAATGTATATAATACATTCTGTAATAATTGGTATGTCACCTCTTATTGCAGAGTGTTAGTGGGTGTTACACTGTGCGGAAAGATGGTGATCTTGGATGTTGATGTGAAGATGGACAGGAGAAAGGATTTAAGCCCTGATCATGGCCCCCTTTTGATATTTTTCTATTTGAATAGAAATACCAGAGAAAAGCAAGGAAAGCCAGGGTGATTCAGATCTGAAACAGATTCCTTCCAAATACAAAGCTAATGCTTATGGTAACAGGTAAAGGACTGAAAATTCCTCCTATGTAACTAAATTAAATATTTTATGAGTTCTGATAACATGTTAGAAACTACAAATTTAAGTTTACATATCTGCTAAGAAAGCAGCTGTAGAAAATCTTTTGAGATTTCACAGTAGTCAGTAAATTTCATCGCTCCATTTTTCTAGATTTTGGATGTGAAGTTGCATAATATAAATTCTATATCTACAGTATGTACAGGTATATGTATATAATGCATCACGAAATATGAAATGATGAATCCTGTCTCTGCCTAGTTTTGGGAAATGTTTGCTCCAACTCAGTTTAGAAAATTTTTATCATAATATCCCCTAGATAAAAACAAATCTATATTGTACCTGTTATTTTGAAACTTGGTCTCTTGTCCTACGGGAAGACCATAGATTAAGGGTGCTTGAGAACAAAGTAGTGAAAAGAATATTTAAGTCTCAGAGAGTGGAAGTACCAGAAGAATGGAGATTACATAATGAAAAGCTTCAAAATTTGTATTCTTCACCAGATGATATTAGAATGATAAAAATACATAAAATTTTAGTCAAAAAAGTGTGAAGGGAAGAGACAACTTAGGAGACCTGTGTGTGGATGAGAGGATGATACTAAAGTGGATTTTAAAAAAGTAAGGAGTTGCGAGAATCTGGACTGGACTGACCTGGCTCAGGATAGGACCCAACTGCCAACTCTTACAAACGGGGTAATGTACCTTCAGGTCCCATAAATAGGAGGGAATTTCCTGACAATGTGACTGATTATTTGCTGTTCAAGAAGGCCTTCATTCATGGAGTTAATTGGCACAGTATCATAGCAAAGTTATCTCAACATAGAGACAACAGCATGTCAGCTTTGAACCAAAAGCCACACTTTGTACTAAGAAAACATACCTGGTTTGCATTCAACATCTGCATCTCCAACAAAGCCTGGCAAACAACTACATGACATTGTTCTAAGTGGCAATGTATCAACCACAGTACAAGCAGCATTTGCAGCACATGGTTTTGTCTCTACGCATGGGTTGCGACATGTTCCACTGAAGCAAGCCAGCTTACTGGCGCAGTCAGCATCCACTACACACTGAGGTTCCACAGGAGGTTCTGAAAACAAGTGCAAATGATTAATTTCACTCGACATATTTCTTCTTCTATGCGTAACATGGCATACATTCTCTGACCTGTACTGATTCCATGTTCTGAAATCAGAACTCCCTGAATTTGGAACTGGCCCACTTCAAGGACACAGCAACAGAATAATGTGTAAGAAGAATTTTGTGCTCCTCACAAATGGCAGGAATGCAGTACCTTCTCTTAAGCAAATAATTTTCAATTAATTTTAAAAGGCTGGTTTTCTCACCTATGGTACAACTGACATGAGGATTGCCAACATATCCAGGTGGACACTGACATGTTGCCTGATGGTTAGTCACCGTACATAATGCACCTCCTCCGCAACTGCAGGGATTCTCACAACGATCACTACGACAAGCTAAGCTGTATGGACATTCATCATCACTGGTACATTCAGGTCTGCTACAGAGTATAAGAGGATCTCCACGATAACTGTCTGGACAATAGCAGCGAGCACGATGGTTACTGTCAGCTCTACATATTGCATTAACTCCACATTGTGTATAAGAGCATGGATCTTCACACTGGCGATTCACACAGGCTTGAGTTGGTGGGCACTCTGAATCAGACCGACATCCAACTGCAAAACAAAGTGACAAGTTAACGGCCTGACACAGGACAGAGTTACTTTTAATGTGCAGTACTAATGCAGTGATTTCTGGCCTAACTTTTTTATGGAATACTAAGGTATTTTTGTGTGAAGTGGAAACTAAATTCTTTCCCTCTCTTGACCTTCCTTACTGCAATAAGGAAAACATAATAGAAATGCTTATTTTAAATGAACCAGGTTTCAGAAAATGAATGAATAAATAGATAATAATAATTTTAAATTCCAACATCTTCATAATATGATTATGATCTGAATGTGATGCAATGATAATAAGAGTAAGTATAATAGTTATATTAGTTTTGTCAAATACAGTGCTTCTCTGTGACAATATAATTTTAAAGACTGGATACCACCTCCAATGATTTTCTAACTAATCAAGGAGTTAACTGAATATAGTGGATTCCTTCTTGATAAGATAATCATTGTTCAGCTATTCAAGAAATTTTATGTTTGTTATGGAACCTGAAAGCTTATTACTAGGGCCCGGATTTTGATGACATGTCATCTTTTTTTTCCTTGTATCCTNAACATGGAAGCAAAGTGTTCTTTCTTTTCTCCTTTAGATCATTTCTCTGGATTTTTTCGGTCATTTTATAGGTCATTTTTTTTAATATTTTCAGGTCATCAAAATCCGGGCCCTGCATAGTACATTTTGGGGTCATATTTTAGGTCATTTCTCTGGATTTTTTCGGTCATTTTTTAAATATTTTGAGGTCATCAAAATCCGGGCCCTGCTTATTACCATGTTGATAAAAACATGCCACTGGTCCTCCTGAACCAGATAAAACCAATCCACATAACTACACCCTATTTAAGATCTAATTTAATATTATCTTTCCATTTATGTGTAGGTCTTACAAATGGTGTTTTCCTTTCAGATTTTCCAAACAATATGCATTTCTTATCACTCCCATGATTTCCAAAGTAACAAAACGTAATTTAATTAACACATTCTGAAATACCATTTCATTTTAAAAATAATTCTCTGTACTATGGATGCAAAATTTAAATTTCAGAAGCAGTCTGTTATTGTACTTACTCTCATAGCACTGGCCTTGGGCACTGCCTGTAAAACCATCTTTACAGACACACAGAGGATGGTGAAGCTGGACATGGCACAAGGCATTTATGCCACAGGTGTTTGGAAACTCAACACATGGATTTCGACATGCCTCATTAATGCATGCCTTGTCATTTGTACATTCTGAGTTGTCTCTGCATTCAGGTTTAGGAACTGAAAAAACACATATACAAGTTGTTATTCTCTTATACTCATTAGATTTACTACATCATAATCATTGCACCTGTTGTGTGTTGCTGATCTCTTACTTCTATTACTGGTATTACAAATGAAAGAAACAGGTTTATCATACTTCTAGTTATGGACAACAGTTCATTCTCTGAACAGGTGACTCAAACTTCTAGGTATGGAAAATAGTCAATTCTCTCAGAAGTCTTTACTTGACTACTTGAAATAAACGGCCTTTCCTCACATGAACCTTGCAGCATTTGCAACTCTAAAAATAGAGATGATCTAGATTGATCTAGATGGCCATGGAGTAGTTGTATATTTGTAGTGTAGTGTGAAATGTCTTAATGTAATTGTAATATTGATAGAAATGGCAATTTATGGTACTTAATACACAAATCCCTGTCAGTGCCATGTGATGTTCTATGCCAGTATATTTACCAACTCTAATACCTTTATGCCTCAAAAATGTAATTAAGTAGAACATGTGTATTTCGTACAAACATAACCCAACTTTTGGGCAAGTGACGTCAGTGTTTCAACTCAACTAGATGTTAAGGTTGTAAATATGGACACTGTGAAATGGGGATCTGGTGGTGTTGTCAGAAATTGTGGATAAAGTGTTGTTCGCAAATTTCGTAAGTGTGGGAAACGTGCTGTAATATTTCACTATATAACATAGCATGTAAACATACAGTAACATGCCAAAGTGGCTGTGACATAGCTCAAGCGGTTTTTACTGGCTTCCCATTGCGGCAGCCCAGATTCGATCCTGGGTTGGTCAAGTGGGATTTGTGGTGGACAAAGTGGTGCTGGTGTAGGTTTTCTCTGAGGAGTTCGGTTTCCCCTGCCAATCTTCATTCCACCAATTGCTCCACAATCACCCTCATCTATCATCTGGGGCTGGTACAATAGGCCAGAAGTGGCCGCAGCACAAGGGACTTAGTCCCACCCCACTAGCAACAAAAAACTCTAAAAATAGCAGAAGGCAAGTACTCTACATAACAAAGATTTCTGTTTCAAAAACCACAAGTCTTGGAAATTTCTAAATAATAAGAGTACAAAATGTCTCAGTTTTCATGCAAATATTGACTTTCTGAACATTATCCAACATCTAGTTTTTATTTAAAAACAATGTTTTGAAGACTGGACTCTGTATCCATCCACAGCCTACTCAGTTCGACCCATTTGACAGAGCTACAGATGTTTAAGAAGTCAATAACTGTATTAATATATACTTCATCACAAATTTTTAGATCTGACTCAGTTTTCATGCTCATGTCATCTTTCAATAAAATATTGGACAACAGTTAAAATGTAGCATAGTGCTTGTGGCACAGCACTTATCAGATGAATCTTCAAACCCAAAGAAACATAGCAAAATTAAGTCACGAGGTAACTAGAGAACCTTCATTTTTAGAAATAAATTGTTTCTTCTATGGTTAATAAATTCAAGGATAGACAGTTTATTTTATTTTAAGTTACTGCTAACATACAGCAATCTATTAGGTCTACTACTTCAAAGTGTTCCTCATTTATGTCTATCTAATTTTGTACAATATGCACTATGCCATCAAACTTATGTAATAGAGTATGCTAAATTACTGCTGTAAGAAAATGCACAATGTTGTCCTGTCAACTTGATGTATTTTGGATTCCCAAGTTATTGCATTGTAAGCAGATTCTGTTTCTTGTTACTTATGCAGCTCACAACGTTTTAGTCATATTCTGTCAAATCAAAACTTATAAGAGTATTATTTTCTGTAACACCATTTAGTTCTGTAGGAGTTTACTATCATTTTTCAGGAAGGTACTGCTTCTATCTTCATGGTTCGACAGTGACCCAAGCAAGAAACCAGCAAAAAGCAGGCTACTTTCTTGTTTGGCTCACTATTCTTTAAATTGAAAAAAGTTATCACCAAAATTGCTATTACACAGACAGATAAAAGATGTTCTTATATATAATCTTTGCTGCTGTAATTATTATCGGTTTGAGATGCACTTACATATACACTTTGTTGTCGACTTACGACCTATGCGACTTATGACCACAAAAAAAATGAAAAATAAAAGATGATTAAAATGTAAAACATTTTAAAAATAAATTATAAAGATGATAAAAAGATTATAAAGGTTAAAAAATACTGTTAATAAATATATGGCTGACATACGACCAGATCCACTTACAAGCTGTCAGTCAGAATGGAAGTCGGTCGTTAAGTCGACGACCAAGTGTATATGCCATAATTTCTTTGAACTAATATACTACATATTGGCATGATAAGATATTATAAGACATTTCTTCTTTCTATTGGATGTGAATATTTAACATGCAAAATTCTGAAGAATATTGTCTTCTGGGGTATAACTTCAGATGATCTGTTGGAAATCAACTGATGTTTCAGAGAAACATGACATCTCCATTATCAAGATTGAAGAATAAGCCAAGCAAGATACCAGCATAAAAGCAGGTGGCTGACTTTCATTGGATTACACAGCGTTATACCCCGGAAGATAGTAGTCTTCACAACCACTGCTGTGAAAACCTCAAATGATAACTTAAAATTCTGTTTTGAAGAACTGAATGCAGTCAGTAAGTTCAGTTGATAACGAAACACGTTACAATATATATGAGATGCTTACCTGGCTGTGCAGGTTGTAGTTGGCATGAAATGCGAGGTGATCCAACATATCCCTCTGGACATGAACATACTGGATTGTGATTTACAACTTGACACAGGGCATTAATACCACAGGCATCTACACAAGGATCACGACACTTTTGAGCAAAGCATGCCTTGTTTCGAGGACAATCCTGGTTGATGACACACTCGGGATATGTGCAGGCAGCAGCTCCATTGACAACACGGCATTGACCATTTACATTACATGGTGATGGGTTACATGGGTCAGCAGGAGGTGCTGGGAAACGAAAGTCACACAGTGTGTAAGGCATTTGTCTAGGTCACCATACAGAAGTGGGCATCAAAATTGAATACCTCTACATTTAAATTATAAGCGTTTGGCCTCTACTTGTATGGGAGGTGACTGTCTTTAACAGTGGTGATTATAATGCCCAATTTCTAAGATACATTAAATTGCTTTGTGAAAACTGTAGAATTTTCAAGAAAGCCACTGAATGGTATTATGAATTTTGTCACAGAGTCAGCACACAGGCATACAGCAAAATAAATTAGAAAAATGCTCCTGATTAAGACCAACAGATCTTGATTTTTAAACTAATGATATGAAATATAATTGTCTCATGTTTTCTCACACATATGATGTGACGCATGCAATTAAACAATCTTCTAGAAGCTTTAATATTTAGATCTATGACAATTATAACAGTTAGTAAAATGGAATGTGACTTACTGATCTAACAAACAGGACATGGCACTTATGGTAAGGAAACAAGGAAGACAATTTCAATTTATCGTGAGTTTAAATGATGTCCTTTGTTCTAGTAATACTGGAAATATCTAGATGCATGTTGACTCTTCTCAGTCATGATCAATACTTTTTAAGAGAATGTCTTTCATGAAGAAACTGAATTCACTCTCTTGTCATCATGTGACAATCCAAGCAGGACTCTTATACATATCATTATAAAAGTAATTTAAACACAACACACTTATCTAGAAACAAAGGTTTCATATTGCAATTAAATATTTCAGGACAGTTATGGTCAGAGAGCAACACAACATATGTGTGAAATTTAGTAGCTTTTATGCAACCTAATAAGTCAGGGAGTAACAAGTTTTTAATATAAGAAATGATAAATTCAGTGCAAATTTAAAAATAAATACAGTACATTATAGATACATTATGGAATTATACACTTCTGCATAACACTGGCATATTACTAGCAACCAGTTTTGTTTAATTATGCATAAAGATGTGTTACATAAACAATGTGGACTTACGTGGTTGATCTTTGCATTCTACAAATGGATCTCCTACTGTAGGTGGTGGACAACTACAAATGGGACTATGGTTGATAACTTGGCAACGTGCTCCATAGCCACACACTCCTGGACATGGGTCAATGCATTTTGTGTTCGCACATGCTTTGTCTCGGGGGCAGTCTGAGCTAATGACACACTCTGGGCGACAGCCGCTGCCACTTGGACTGCCATGGAATCCAGGTAAGCATTCACAGAATGCGTTTCCACCTGAAGCTTGACAACGTGTGTTGGTTCCACAAGGTGAAGGATTACATGGGTTAACTTCGGGTTGTTCTGGAATTACAAAAATACATTTGGAAATAATTACATAGAATTCAATATAATAATACTGAGTTCCATTGTTGAAGGAATTATGCAAAAAGAAGATAAAAAATAAAAACAAAAGATATGACTCTTCATGAACGATGAGAGATTCAGGCAAGGTAAACATTACATTAGATTTAATTATGGCAGTATTCATCCTATATTCAATTTGAAGGAGAATTAATATATACCTGCATTATCCCTGAGAGTTTATGCATAAACCAGTTATTTGGGAAAATCATTATAGGATTTCTATTTATATGGAACACTAAAGAACAACAGCCTGCTGAAGTTAATGGTAAACTAAAATTGTTAATATAGGAAACATGTTTATTAAAGGCTATATGAATCTAGAGAATGCAATTCCATATTGGAAGAAATACAAACACAATATAGAATGAAGTTATTTAGAAGAACCATAAAGTTTAAAAGTTTTATAATAAAGCATAATGTGGTTTAGGGATATTTAGGCTACAACATCATCATTATTCAAAAACAACTTATAGGCACTGTATCCCTAATTAATGTAAAGTCAGGTAAGAGTACATTCATTAACAAAAAAATTTTAAGTTCCAGAAGCAATGATGTCAACCTTATTGAAGAAGTACTTAATAGTCTTGATGGACAAACTAAACTAAGTGAAGACCATATTCTTCTGCAAGAACACATTTCCCAGTGGTGTTTCATGTCACATCTCATATAATATTCCTCTTTATTTCATAGCAGAATCTACTATCTAGGAGCAATCATATTATTTTGATGCTGAATATTCATAAAATTAACAGGAGGCATATACAGGTAGAATTTACTCAGACATGTCTTATGCTATGCATGAAGATGTGAATTCAAGCAGTAATAAATATATATTTGCATCGCATTACTTACACTGGCCTATCACGTGTCCGCTTGGGTATCCTACTGGTTTCAGTTAGAGCGCTTAACACAGTTTTACTGAACTTGGTGCACATTTTGAAAAAGTAAGAAACGTTCCAGATTTTCATAAATTAAGCCATATTCCGTGATAAACATTAACCATACTTCGCACATCCATATCACATATTATCAATAGTAACAGAAGAGACATGATACAATGAAACAAAAGACTGCTTCTTCTTAGTGGCCTGTTCAATAACTTATGGTCATGCAATATGTTAACAGTTGACAATTTGTTGCTATGGTTAACCCATGATTGTGCAATTTCAGAGCTTCATCTGATGGTTACAGTTCAATTTATATAAAGACAATTTTCATTAATTAAATATAAACTTATGAAGCAAGTTAACAGAACTTTAGAAAATGAAGCAAAGTTAAAATGTCTTGGAAAGATAGTGACAACAAGAAACTGGTTAATGGAAAATTAAGAGCGGATTCTGCAATACATTGTACAAAGAGAAAAAATTTAATCATGATGTCACATTCAAGAAGGTAAGAAGAAACACATAAAAACAAAAATCTAATAACAACTTATATGTGAATAGTACCAAAAATATAACGGCGAACCCCAGAAGAAAAACACCACCTACAATACGCAACAAATAACACAGAATTTTACATTGTAGTGATGAGAGAATTTTTAAAAATTCAAAATCTTTTTACTATTTTATTAATAACATGTATTATGATGATTATGATTAATACTAATATGGATAATAATGTGAAATAAATTTAATGAAACTGCCTGAGGATGGTCCAAATTATGGACCGAAACATGTAGCAGTTATTAAATAAAACCAATGTAAACAATTAGATTGATTTATTTTGAAACATTTGTTGTGTTGATGACCAGAGTATCACAAATCGTAAAAGAACATAACACTTTGGAAAATGGATCAGTTTCCATCCTTAGGTGTAAGGTTTGGGTGGTATCTATTCAGTTTTGTCTGTTACATGGAGTAGTCTCGATCACTGCATCTTGTCCAGCTCTATCTATCAGGTCCAACTGAGTATGTACCTCCCCACCTTTATGCCTCAGAACAAAGACAGATTCAGTTTCTAACACATTAGGTTGTTTTATAATATTAGATGATGCAGAAAGTTTAGAAATTCCTTCAGTAATTCTAAGTAAAATACACTGATGTCAGAACCCTTTAGAACTTATCAGTAAATACTGTCTCTTTTTCAGAACAGAAAGATTTTTGTGTTTAATTATGTCTGACCATATGGTGTCATGCTGATTCTGCAAGTCTTCAGCATATGGTATCAACAATTTTGCTTGAAATATGCATATATCTTTATGGGTTATAATGATACATGGTCAATGGTGTAAAAATTTGCAGGAATGTTATAATGACTACAGACAGAGAGAAAAGGGTGGATGGAGAGATCAGTATTATTCTTTAATACTGGAATGAGGTTGAATCAGTGAAGAAAATAGAATACAGTATGAAATTAAAATTAAATAAGAAAGATTTCTGTTTTGTGTCTCAAGTACTTAAAAATACTTTTTAACTCATGTTTAGATTTATTATAAGTCGTTTCAATATTTCGTGAAAGATCTTTCTTACTCTGTGCAAGGTCTAAAACAGGGTCATGCATACTATTCATAGCAGATAGTCAAAATTAGGGTTGTGGGAACTACAGCAGGTCATATTATCTTTAGATCGGTTGAAAGATTCAAATTATATTATCCTCTAAGAGACAGGCCATTTAAATTCCCGTAATGCAGACGGCCGGAGTTAATTTAAATGTCCGCCATTGTAGAGTAATAAAAATTGTAAGCATGTTACTGAAAATGCTGTGATTTCTACAATTTTTGTGATAAACGAACGAAATAAACGCTGCTTTTATCTAAAAAGGATATAGAATCAGATATTGTAATTTACAGTTTTAGAATCTATAAAAATTGTTACACTGATTCCAAAAAAAAATTCCTAATTTTGAGCGTCTGTCCACAAACATGCATAAAGTTTCTGCACAAAACGTTCCTGCAGTATAAATTCATGCTGCTGACACACTATCTTACTATGTCTTATCTGGCAAGAGGAGAGGAAATTTATGTTTGTATTGCACATTCTCCAGTCCTGTCGACCTTTCTGTAAGCACGAGTGTGGCGAAGTCTTATCCTACTTTGCCCTTATGAAACTCTGCTTGTTTATATCTCGGACTAAACACATTGAGTTACTGTTTTTCGAATATCCCTGCAAAGCCCCTTGCTTCCTCGACCCTTCAAAGTCATCTGTACCGCATTCTGAATGGTGTGATTTATGAGCGGCCTCTCAATTTTGGCTTCTTCCATATGAAATGGGGCTATGGTGGATAGTTGAAATTGCGATGTTTTATAAACGTTACGATTAGGGGAGGCCACTCAACATCACTGGCCTACTTCCTGTAATACGAGAGTGAGGTGTCGTGTGTGCTCTTCGCTTGGGAAATGGAGTTACATATGGATAAAGTGCATGAATTGCGACGTTGGACTCTGCATTCAGTTAGATGACGTAGGAGGGAAAACTGTCTACTTATAAAGCGGGTGCCCAAAAGTAATGTAAGTAGAACATGAATTTCTATCTTAAAATTAGATTTTAAAACACTGTGCACACGCGTGGACTGCACGTACCCATACAGTGTCGCACGGCCACTCGGCTATACTTTAAAGGTCCCCATATGCCATGTGGCATATGGTGTCGCTAGGCTCTTAAAGGTTATATTAACAAAAGTATACCAAATATGCAAATTACCTTTCACAGAGATGTCATTCAGATACTCAAAAGAAATAGGGCATGAATGTATGGACTGGACTCAGCTGCCTGATCACAGTACTCAGTTGTAGGTCGTTGTAACATGGTAATTTCTCTTTAGGTCTGAGAGTATTACCTTCTGGAAGTTATGCCATATTGTCTGGTATAATTTCACTGAGATTTCAGATGAACTTACTGCATCCACCTTCACAGTTGAAGAGCAAGATAATCAAGCAACAAGCAAAAAGCAAGCAGCAGACTGAGTGAGCTACGTGTGGAAGATATGGCTAAATATAGGCCTAGAGTAGGAAAGGACTGTGGTCCCTAAAAGGGCCACACATGCAAAATCAATACATGTAAGAAGGCAGAACAGAAGTGGCATAAGTGACAAATGACCATTATGGTGGGCTTGAAGAGCAAGAGGGGCTGTAGGCAGGGCAGTGAGGGATGAAAGGAGTAAGCAACATGGAAAGAGATGTTAACAAAGCTGATGAAAGAAAGAAGCTTCTGTAGAAACAGTAGCAAGGAAAGCTCAGGTGGATGGGTGTTCTGATATGGGGAGTGTTCACAGGCCTGGTAGAGAACCCCATCATGATAAATCCTAAGACAGATGTTTCTTGTTTTCTTCAGGGACTAAATGAGAGATTTAGTTGGCCTTCTTAGGCAGAAATCATCATCTATATTATTGGGATAGGTCTCAATCTCAATTGCCTTCCTGATGATACAGTCAATATATCTGTCTTTGGTGGCAATAATACTGATCTTTTGCAGGTTATGTCCCAAGTTGATGCTGTGCCTTGCCATAATTGACTAGTCTGGATGAATAAGATAGATATGCCAATGGTGTTCCTCGACCCTGATGTTAATTAAAGAATCTGTCTTATCAATTAGACCTGAACACGCTTGAAGGGAATAGTGTAAACTCCCACAGTTTTCAATTTTAGGTTGTCTTCGAGAGAATGAAGGAAGCTGGAAATTTCCTTTGGCTGATGGGTGACCAAATGTACATCATGACAAGAGAGCATTTCCAATGTGGTTTAAAGTTAACCTGCGATATGTCAGAAAGTTGACCAAGTAAGGATCCTCACTAGGTGGAGAAACACTCTCAGAAATACTGTGAGTCCTATGAATCTGACACCTGCTGTAGACATTCTGACCAATGTGACCTTGATAAATTCCAGTTCATCGTGTAGGATTCACAGGTCACACAGAGCTATGACTCTCTGCTCAAGGGAGAAAGCATGGCTTGTTTGTTGGATGGATGGTGGTGGTGATGGTGGTGGGAGCATAGGTTCAGATAGAGGTGGGTTTATGACATACTTTATGACTCAGAGTGCTGTTAGGTCTTCTGAAAATATCAATATCCACAGAGAACTGGATATTCTGATGGACCTTGTTCATCTGGTCAAGGAAGTCCTTGAGCTTCTTTGGCACACAAGTACAGATGAAGGTGTCATTCACATACAGGAACTAGCAGAGGGGCTTACGCATTGCTCTGTCAAGGCCACTACCTCAAAATCCTACACAAAGAAGTTGAGAGTCACTGGAGACAGTGGTAAACCCATAGACAGTGTGCATTTTTAGAAATGGTTGTTGAAACTGAAGAAGGAAGATGTCAGAACATGATAAAAAAGTCGCATGATATCCTCCTGAAAACCTCCAATGGGGAGGTTTAAGGTCTTCCTAAATGACACCCTGGTGAAGAATGAGGCCACATCAAAACTGGCCATGAAACCCTCAGGTCCAGCTAGGAAAAATCCCAATGTGAAAATGAAATCTGCAGAGTTCATGAAATGAGACCCAGCAGATGTTTCGGGAGCCAACAGGTTTGGAGCCCATGTGGTGCTTAAAGTGGGCCTCAGGGGAACACTTCCTTGTAGACCTTTGGGAGGACGTGCAGCCTAGGAGGTCTCTAAGTTGTTGGGACACCTCCTGATGCAGTGAGAATTCTTCCAGGAGAAGAAGAGTTTTGTGCTTCACAGACTAAGTCTTTTTTTATTTTAAAAGGTGGCGCTTGACAGGGCAATCTCTATGTAAGCCCCTCTGCTAGTTGTTGTATATCGATGACACCTCTGTTACCTGGCCCCATAGCCCGGATAAACTGATGGGCTCCCTTGAAGAGCTGAAGAGTGTCTTTCACAACATCCAACTCACTATGGAGATGGAAACAGATGGTCATCATCCATACCTAGGTATTGATATTTACAGGAAACTTGTGGTTCTTTGAGTCATAATATATACCATAAACCAAGCCATTCCACCATCTACCTGAATTTTAGCTCCCACCAGTGGCCACACAACAAGCACATCATCCTTTACATCATGGAACACAAGGTCAGGGCTCTGTGTGTCTGGGATACACTATACAGTCAACTGGGGTTTCTCAAGTTACTTTCAGCATGAACAGCTACAGCAACCAACAGGTCTGTAGGGCTCTTAATCCTCCTGAGAGGGTGGCTCCACCTTCAAAGGATTGTGGCTTAGTCACCTTTCTGTTCTATCTTGGATCAGCTTTCATCTGCCTTAGCAAGATGCTGTCTTGGTACAACATCAAGTCAGTCAACCTCTCACTGTGGACATCTTCGGTTTCCTTCAATCTATCAAGGACAACCTAGGACTGAAGACACTAGCGGGAGGATTGAAAATCTCCTGTGAGTTTGGTCAGGTCTACATTGAGCAGAAAGGCTATTAAACTGACATCAGGGTTAAAGCAAAACCATCATCATATTTATCTTGATCGACCAGACAAATCAGCCACAGTGAGGCATAGCATCAATGTTGTATATTGCATCCAGGTCTCAAACACCAGTATCCTCTGCAGGAAATCCAGGTACACTGATCATATCATGAGGAGGGTGACTGAGCTATATCCCAACAGTATAATTATGCAGAATACCTTCTGCCCAAGAGAATTATGGAAACCTCTCATCTACTCCCTGAAAGTACACAGGAAGCCTCTTTCTTACAAATTTTCATGGCAGGATTCTCCAACAGGCTGTTAGACCTGTCAACACTATAGTTTCTATGGCATTCACCTGCCCAAGCTTTCCATGCTGCACTTTCTGCAGCAGTTTGTTTTCCTTCTTTCATTAGCTTTCTCCACAGTTACGCCAGTGCAGTTTCTTCCTTTCAACACCACTGCTCTGCCTACAGCTCCACCTGCTCTTCAGGCTCATCTATAGTTTTCGTTTGTCACCTGTGCAATTTTCTCCCGCCTTTTTTAATATCTTGAGTTTTGCAAACATGGCCCTTTTGAGGGTAATTTTTTCTCCTCTCCTTGCTCTTATCGGTTAACTCTATGCTCCTTGCCAGGCATATAACTAACCATGTTCTCTATGCATATCTCACTCATATTGCCTGTTGCTTGTTATTTTGTTCACTATTCAATCCTGAAGATGGAGGCATTAAATTCCTTCTAAATGTCGGTGAACTACTGGCCTACAAGAAGTCACATCCCAGAAAACAGTACTCTTCAATCACTGACATGAGAACTTCAAATTCAACATTTTTGTTCTGTAAAAGGCATAGAATTTCTTTACGAACTGAGGTGCTATTTATCTTCTCTAAGGACTGAGTCAGTAATGATGATACAAACTGCTAGACTATGGGCAAGTGGATCTTGTTACATTCCTACTACATTTAAGGTTATTTTTGGAGACTTGCAATTCAGAGCTGAGGTACAACTGAACACAGACACTCATGCTTATTAACCTTTATTGGACACATGTTATGCTACTTTGATGTGTATGCCATTAGCCTTGGAAGACTTGTGCTGAATTTCTTTAATAATAATAATAATAATAATAATAAAAAAAACAGCAACAACAACAGATTAAAGCAGAGGTAAAATCTGGCCCCCACTGCAGAAGCAGGGGTATTTAATCCCAGATGACAAAGGTTAATCTCAATCTGTAATGTATGAACCTTTGGGAACCTGTTTTTGATACACCAAGAAAAACTGAGCTAGAATTGAACTAAAAGATCTGAAAGTCACTTACTTGGTATTTGTGTGCAGATTCGGAAGGCATCACCAGTAGTCCCTTCAGGGCATGTGCAGATTGGTATGTGGTTGGACACTGCACAGATTGCAGACACACCACATGTACCAGGACATGGATCTTGACATTTGTTACGAATACAGGCTCGGTTCATTGAACAGTCTGAACTTACAAGACATTCTGGCCGACAACCTTCATATGGGTTTCCATGATATTCTGGTATGCACTCACACAAAGCGAATGAATTTTCTACGCGACAACGAGCATTAGATCCACATGGTGATGGGCGGCATGGTTCAGCTGGTGGTGGTGGTGTTGAAGGTGGAGCTGAAAACATGACAATATTCATTACATATCTGACCAATGAATTCTGATATCAGAGATCTGCCAGAGTAGGTATCTGAAGTGTATATAATCAATTGAGACACTTCATAGGTTAAGTTATTGAAAATATTTATTAATGTGCTAATTTTGTTCTTGTGTAATCCAGAATACAGTTAATACTGCTCTGATCTAGACCTCCAATATGCAGTAATTTAATCATACTGAGAAAACATTAAAATATCACAAAATAACAAACAAGCTTTGGGTACAAATTTTAATCAGTGTGTATTGTATTATTATTATTTTTCATACATCTAAAACATTAATTATTATATGACAGTGGCTTTAAATTCTATGAAATATCTATGGCAAGTTTCATAGTTTCTTTGTAATTTACTGAATAGTTATTTGCAAACAAATTACAGAAAATGCTTTATTAACTGAAAGTAATAAAATGTTTTGAAAAATTAAGTTAAAACTCAGATACATAAATTAAATTATGTAATGATTTCAAAATAAATTTCCTATGCAACACAGTTAAGTGTGATATTTTAACATTCTCAAATATTTCAATCATACAACATATTAATTCCATTACATGCTATTAAGACAACATGCTGATGAATAAAATCATCAACTACTCCTAAAATCACTAAACTAAATCACAGAAATTACTTATCACCACAAGTGTTGCCATAACCATAACCATCACAAGTACCACAATCACACCCATACCACAAGTTTCACCACCACCACCACCACCACCATAAAACAGAATAAACCAACACCAATATGAATGTGGATGCACTATGCTACAAAGTACACACAAACATAACACTTTCAAGCAGCATGCATATTTACAACCTGTAAAAGAAATCAATCACAATGCAAACTACACTGCAGGAGAGCAAATTTTTTGCCGACAAAACTACACTGTTGAATCCTCCAAAGCAAACCACAAGACTACTAGGTTAATTTGATGAACCTACATTGCCAAAAGCTGTTTACTCTATTCAACTCAAGCTAAAATACATTTCATGGTGTGAGACATGTAAACAATTTAAGCTGTTTCCAGAAACTCTCTTATCCTCAATAAATTCACATTACTGAACTGTGAAATATTACTTAATTTGAGCTTTAGGTAATAGAGCTGATTAAATGTTTGCAAGGAATTTTCTACATTTTTTAAAAGTAAACTGATGTAATTCATAAATATTAGCAGATTACTTCAGTGATAATAAAGAAAATTTTTACAAATACTGAATTAAAAGAATATCTCTTTATGAAAAGAGGACAAGGGCTGTAACTCCAGACAGTGTTTATACAAATTCAGAAGATCAGCTAGTAATTTTGTGCACAATAAATGGTATAAATAATTTTGAAGGTAAGCTTATTTCATTCCAAAAGTTAAACAGGAAATACTCTTATGTTACATAAATGACTGAGACCAACACTTTGTAAATTTTGTCATATTCTTGCATATAGAAGAAGGCTCATATTTTCTAATATTGTCCATAATATTATAAAAACTAGAATCAGCTCAATTTGGGTCTGCTAACTGTATACTGTCCCTGTTAAAGCTTCTTTAAATATTAAAATGCCTTTCCTAGAATTACAGAATGTTACTCTCAATTTTACTGCATATATGTATAACGTCCCATATCATTAATACTGTTTCAGTATCAAACTAGACACAAAGTGATTTTGCATACTGTGTTTCATGTAACAGTATCAACATAAACTTTTCTGTAAATAACATCAAAGTAAACTTAATATTGCAGGGTTTATAATGACAAATTTGTTATAATACCAGGCATTATACATTGCAGTATGCACAGTACTAGCATTAGAAAGTCACAAGATGACAGCCTGTACATGTAGAGAAAAATAAAAATGTTACAGTTTCAATTTCTATATGTAATTTCTGGCAGTAAAAGATTACTTAAGTTTGTGACTGGAAAACCATTACCGATGTCATATAATGGAAAATTATAATGTCTGTAAAAAGTGGAAATAAATATAAATATACTACTTTTAATATGTTAAGTCACTTTGTGTTTAGTTACATATTATAAGATTCAAAGTTATACAAGGTATGACAATAAAGTTTGCGAACTCGCCACTGTGTGCTTGCTGTGGGAGCAGTGGACAGAAACCTCAGTTTGGTTTGATGACTTTGGCATAGCAGCGTTTCATAGCTGTGTTGTTGTTGATCTATAGCAGTCTCTTTCTGAGTAGCATCTATTATCATCTGAGTGTGTTTTGGTGTGCCATCGCCAACAACTCATGGATTTTGCATCACAACAATGCACCTGTGAGGGAGTTTTTAGCTAATAAACAAATAACTGTGCTGGAACACCCCTCTCTATTCACTGAATCTAGCCTGTAATGGCTTTTTTCTGTTACTGAAGATAAAGAAAATATTGAAAAGAAGGCATTTTTATGACAATGATGATATCAGGAGTAATACGATGGTAGCTCTGAAGGCCATTCCACAAAACCAGTTCCAAAAATTGTTTTGAGGGGTGAACTAGGCGCTGGTATCAATGCATAGCTTCCAAATGGGAGTATTTTGAAGGTGACCATAGTGATATTCAGCAATGAGGTATGTAGCACGTTTATTGCGATGAGTTCGCGAACTTTATTGTCAGACCATATAGCATTTCTATATTTCTGTCTACAAGCCCAACTTACTACAATCCACCAGCATATTAACTGCAACTACTGTTGTATAGTCAATAACAACAACAGTGACAAAAAAGCTGCTTCTGTTTCTCTGATAATCCACCAGCATATTAAGCGCAACTACTGCTGTCTACAGTCAACAAAAATCAAAGCTGCTTCTCTTTCTTTGATAATCCACCAGCATATTAAGTGCAACTACCGCTGTCTATAGACAGCAAAAATTAAAGCTGTTATCTGTTTCTTTGATTATAATACTGGTTCTTTAAAAGCTGTCCTTCATTAGTTTTCCAAATTAACAGTTCCAAATCTTTCTTAACTCCAATCTTGGTCATACAGAAAAGAAATAATAAAATCTTCCTGCCTTGAATTAACCATTTCTCTGCTATGACTTCTAGAGGGTTAATTTTAAAGAATGTTGTGTTTCCTGCAGGACAGAAGCCTATATTTTGTGGGAAACGTTTCATATAAAAACAATATTACACACCAGTTAAATCTAAGGAATTTTTAACCATAAAATTAAGGAAATAAGAAATCTCAAGACATACATGATATCAAGATGTCATCTACAACTGATATGCAAAAATTAGTCAGTGAAAAATGTAAAAGAAACTGTGTGGAACATCATCAACGTGACCACATGGGCAATTCTGCAATACTCAGGCAAAGGATCGTTCTAGAGACATGACTAGAAATCTCATCTGAACTTGAAATTCTGCTGGGAGTTGACATATTATCACAATATCTGTGACACTATTTTTCTTCCATATATGTAAAACATGTGAAACACTACACAGAATTCTTAAGACACTACAGCATAATGGCAGTGTATAAAAATTGTAGGTCCTTCATTCTAATTCTGAAGGAATTCAAGTCCCGGTAGGAAAGATATTATGATGTTTCTCCCATGCTATATTCTATTACCTTATCGTGTTTGTTACCTGGAATACTAATAAGAACAGCTTTTTCTCTAAAACACCTTTCCTCAGCAGGTGTTTATACCAGTGGCATAGTTGAACAAATAGTATGGATGTATGGAAGCATAGCAAAACATCTTTATTCTCAAACAAGCAGTAGTACTTTCAACTTTACTGAAGTTTATGAAATAATTATGCATTTTTGTGTGATTATGAACCATAGATGTTCTGTACTTTTCTTATGAAGAAGTGGTGTATACAATTCATGCATTGTGAATTACGATACTATGCCACTGATGTTTACCATAAAAAATTAGAACATCTTATTACACAGCAGTGCTAATTAAGAAAATTCTGCTACTTGATATTTTCCTTAGGTTCACAACTGTTATACAGTTCTATTTACCATCAACCACCAAAAGCCCTATCCATAACCAGAGTGTTCATTTACCAGCACATAAGCAATTAGATTTCAACAAACTTAATTCAAACTGTAATTATGGCAGAGGAATATTCAGTTGTTTATTGTTATTAAATAACTCCACAAATCCTGTACAGGGGCTTTAGCACCCATAGGATATAGAGCTAGTCAAACTTATTTAGAAAAAGCATGACTAAACCTTGACTGAAGCTTTCCACTTCACAACAGAATTTCCTTGCAGATACAAACCAGCAATAAAAGATAGCTCATAAATATCCAACTGTAAATTTACTTTAAGCCATATATTTGAATTCTTATATTAGTGTCCAGTAATATGGCTGATAATTTTAACAGATTCATATTCATCTACTTCTCATTTTCTTACTTTTAAAATTTTAGATTATTGTGTTGAATTATTTTCTGTCATGCAGGCCTGATAATTGTATAATTATCCATCTGACTCACTAAACAAACAAATTTAATTTAATTTAATTCAGATTAATGTGATGGGACATGAAGTGATAAAATTACATTCAGCCATATCTTCTAGCTACTCAATATAAGAAAATAATATTTATCACTGTTTCCACTTCCAAACCTAAAGCTAATAATGCTGTGCAAATATACCATGGCCAACTACTTCACCAACTACAACTCCAGGAATGATGTAATATCATACACCAGAGCCTGAATACAAACCAAAGGTGAGAATCAAGGCTTACATTGAGCAAAAATACATAATGTGAATGGGTCTCCATTGAAGCCTGATGGGCAGATACAGTTGGGAATATGCATCACGATATGACATTCTGCACTGGCGCCACAAGATCCTGGACAAGGATCTTGACATTTTTGGTTGATGCAAGCAAGATGACTTGCACATTCACTATTGATAATACATTCAGGACGACAGGCTGGTGGTGAGCCTATATATCCTGTCAGACAAGTGCATGATGGACTTCCATCGCCTGAAACTTGGCATTGTGAATTGGGACCACAAGGAGATGGTTGGCATGGGTCCCGAGGTGCTGGAGGTGGAACAGGTGTGGGTGCTGCCAAGTAAAGAAAAAAGATAAAAGCAAGAGTTAGAATAGTTCTGTAAGCAAATGAACAAGAGATACAGAAAGTATTCAAGAGAACTATATTAAGACAGGACACAAACATTCATACACAGTAAGTTGAAATTTTTGTGGGTGCTATAGAGTTCATGATACAATAGAATAGACATGGATTATTCATAAATTCTCATAGGCCTACAATATGTATTACATTATATTATATTGTGATAAATATGTAAATATTAAATTGAATTTCACTTCACAACTAGAAATATTTAACTGAAAAGCTTCTGTGATCCTAATTCTTCTACAGTAACTGTAATTGCTTATGAAAGTATTAAATGTGAAATGCTGTATGTATGTTTGTTTTCATTTTGATACCAAAAATTTAATTTATTAATATTTTGATGAAAATTCCCTCTGAAGAAACTATTATTGTGCTTATTTATTCACAGGTTATTTAATAACATAACATCCACTCTTACTGTATTTATAAATTATGATCTGCATAGCACAGTAATAACGGTGTTGTGAGGATTTGGTTGATGAAGTTTTTAAAAGAATATCTTCAAAACTTCTATTCATGACATTTATGAGATTTTAAATAAAACAAGTAAGAGTATACAGTAAATGAAGAAAGTATTCTTACGTATTGATGAGCATCTAGTGAATGGGTCTCCAGTGAAACCAGGTGGACAGCTACAGATTGGATTGTGGTTTATTACAGTACAACGTGCTTGAAGTCCACATGTGCCAGGACAAGGATCTGTACATTTTTGATTGTTACATGCTTGATTCTGAAGACACTCAGAACTCACAACACACTCTGGCCTACATGTTGGTGGACTTCCTATGTACCCTGTCAGGCATGAGCAAACAGCTTGGCCATTAATTTCACGGCACTGACTGTTTGGTCCACAAGGCGATGGACTGCATGGCTGTGTCACAGCTGGAACTGCAGGAAGAGGGTGGAAACAGAACAAAGTTTAGAGAAGTACTGATAACAGAATGATAAGTGAACATGAAGAAATATTTGTATACCAAATGTATGTAATACTTTAGTTCAGTAAAGAAAAACTTTCAATTTCATTTCTAATTTCAGTAATAAAGAGTATCACACAAGTCTAATACTTTTATTCACAATATTAATTACAATTATTTTTTACAATGATGCATAGTGATTTCTTACGTGGTACAGCTCTGCACAAAACAAATGGGTCCCCAGTGAAACCTTCAGGACAGCTGCATATTGGGATGTGATTCACTACATCACATGTGGCTCCTTGACCACAAGTGCCAGGACAAGGATCGGCACATTTGTTTCTGATACAAGCTCTGTTCCGTGGACAGTCGGTACTGAGGACACATTCAGGTCGACACCCAGCATAGGGGTCTCCCTGGTATTCTGGCAAGCAAATACAGATTCCATTGCTGCACTGAGCATTGGGTCCACAAGGTGATGGACTGCATGGATCAGCAGGTTGTGGCAGCGCTGTTGAAAAAAATCATATGAATTTTAATTTTAGGAAAACATGACAAATGTAGTTTTCTATGAAAGTGAAGTCTATAATTTATAAGAAGTTATCACATAAATTTTCAAAATTAGGAAGATATACAACAACCAAAATTCTCACTGCAATATGGAAAATAAATTTCAAAAGTAATACTGACTTACGTGGTGGTGGACTGGGGAAGCAGTTTGTAAAGGGATTTCCAGTATAGCCTGGAGGACAAGAGCATATTGGTGTGTGGTTGATAACACTGCATAGTGCCCCTGCTCCACAAGATCCTGGACAGGGGTCACTACATCTCTCCCGAATACAAGCTCTGTTGCTGGCACATTCTGGATTGATAACACACTCTGGCCGACAGTTTGGTGGACTGCCAATGTAATTAAGAAGGCAGGAGCATGACGGAGAGCCTCCAATATCTCGACAATGAGAGTATGGCCCACATGGAGATGGGACACATGGGTTTACATTAACTGGAGGCACTGGAGCTGGAACAGGTGCTGAAATAAAAAAAAATGAATACACATTTTGTGTACCAAAAACTACTATTAAAAATTTGTTAGAAATATAATACATGTAAATGGTATATCTTACGAGGAATTGAACTACATCTTATGAAAGGATCCCCTGTAAAACCAGCTTGACAGCTACAGATTGGACTGTGGTTGATAACTTCACAACGTGCATTCAGTCCACATGTTCCTGGGCATGGGTCCACACATTTCTGATTCACACATGCTCTGTTCTGCGGACATTCCGAGCTCACAACACACTCTGGTCGACAACCTGGAGGGGTGCCAACATAATTGGGTAGGCAAGAGCATACTGCTTGTCCGTTCACATTTCGACACTGACTGTTTGGACCACATGGAGATGGTACACAAGGATCTCCTGGTTCTTGTTCTACAGCTAAAGAAAAACAGGATAAAAAGTAAATATTATGATAAGACGATATTTCTATATAAATGCAATGTAATATACCTGTTGTACAAACTTATGAAATTAAGAAGGATAGCTGAGTTATATGATCTTACGTTTAGGTGGTAAGTTATTGCAGAATCTGAATGGATCTCCGGTGTAGCCTGGGCGACAAGTGCAAGATGGTACATGATTCACAACTTGGCAGTCTGCATTCTGGCCACAAGTTCCTGGACAAGGATCCTGACACTTGTTTCTTATACAGGCACGGTTTGAAGGGCAGTCTGTGTTGAGGACGCACTCTGGACGACAGCCCTCATATGGATTCCCTATGTAATCTGGGAGACAAGTACATGAGCCAGCTCCATTCAATTCCCTGCAGACTGCATTTGATCCACATGGGGATGGAATGCAAGGTGTTGGCTTCTCCATTGGACGAGCCTGTGGAGCTGCATGGAAAATGACATGAAGTTCAGTACATAAAGAGATGACTGTGAAACAAACAAATATATTCATTTACTTATTTATGCTTACGTTGAGGTAAAACACATTGTCTAAACGGATCGCCTGTCAATCCAGAAGCACAAACACAGTTTGGAGTATGGCTGACAACTCTACATTCTGCGTTGATGCCACATGACCCTGGGCATGGATCTTGGCATTTGAGATTGATGCATGCCAAATGATTGGCACATTCTCCATTGCTTACACATTCCGGCCTGCAGTTTGGAGGAGATCCAGTGAAGTCAGGCAGACAAGAACACGATGGACTATCTGTGGCCACCTGGCATACAGAATTGGGTCCACATGGAGAAGGCTGACATGGATTTGAAGGTGGAGTGGATGGAGGTGCAGCTGCATAAAAATAATACACAATGAGTTTTATTTCTTAACCTTACATTTTTCAAATTCAAGAAAACGAAAGATAACTTTTACAAACTGAATGACATGTTGGTCTGATTATATTCTTACATATAGACTGGCATCTGATGAAAGGATCGCCTGTCAGTCCTGATGGACAGCTGCATATTGGATTGTGACTGATGACTTGGCACTGAGCTCCCAGACCACATGTCCCAGGGCAGGGATCTATACATTTCTGATTTGAACATGCCTCATTAAGGTTGCAGTCAGAGCTAACAATGCATTCTGGTCTGCAAGATGGAGGGCTGCCTATGAAACCCTGTACACATGAGCATACAGCCTGTTCATTGATGATTCGGCACTGACTATTGGGGCCACAGGGGGACGGACTACATGGTTGTTTCACCTCGGGAGCTGGAATTCAAATAAAAGAAAAATAATAAGTTTCATAATGAATCACTTCAAAATGTATGGTTGTATTTTCACTAAGAAATTTGTTACCATTCATATTTTAAAACAGAACGGGTGTCTGCTTAAAATGCTCAGTAAGATGTTAGAACTAAGTATGTGAAATTTAAATAATGCTTTAATTACAAGATAGAACAATAAAAAATAGATGAATATTATCTTACGTGGTACTGGGTTACAACTGATAAATGGATTCCCAGAATATCCTTCTGGGCAGGAACATGTAGGTATATGGTTCACAACAACACAGGTTGCTTGAGCACCACATGTGCCAGGGCAGGGATCTGCACACTTGCTCCTAATGCAGGCCCTGTCTTTAGGGCATTCTTGATTCAGGACACATTCTGGTCGACAACCAGCAAATGGATTGCCTTGGAATTCAGGCAGACAGGTGCACACACCATTATCACATTGTGCATTGTATCCACAAGGTGATGGATTGCATGGGTCTCTTGCTGGTGGAGGTGAGGCTGCCAGAAGAACATTAAAAAGAATTAAATTATAAAAATAAAAAGAAACAGACATGTAGAAAAATAATCTGATGTGACAAACATTAAAAAAAAAACATGAAAAACTATTTACAAGAAACAGGAAATAAGTAACAAAACTTATCTTATGTTTCTTTAAATGGTACATAGTAGGTTGATTACTTACGTGGTTGAGGTATTGGGACACAGTTTGTAAAGGGATCCCCAGTGAATCCAGTTGGACAAGTGCATGTTGGTATATGATTGATGACATTACATTGTGCTCCTGCACCACAAGATCCTGGACATGGGTCACGACATTTCTCTCTCAGACATGCCCTGTTACTCGCACATTCTGAACTAATGACACATTCTGGCCTACAGTTTGGTGGACTACCAATGTAACCCACCAGACAAGAACATGAAGGAGTTTCACCAATAGCTTGACAAAGAGAATTAGTCCCACATGGAGATGGCACACAAGGGTTAATAGGTGCAGCTGGCAATGGTGTAGGTGAAGCTGCACAAACAAAAACAAAAGTACTGTCAGAGAAGTACAGGAATGATATAAATTTAACTGCATTAGTTGGCAGAAAAAACAGAGAGTAATGCAAAAACGTTTAATAATTACAAACAATAAAATTATTGATATATTGGGTTTTTGGACTATATCCATCGTGCTGGTTTTTAAGATAATTAATAAAAATACGACGTTTCGGACACTGGATCTGTTTCCATCCTCAGGTGAAGGAAAACACCTATTCTGTTTTTATTAATTATCTTAAAAACCAGCACGATGGATAAAGTCCGAAAACTCAATATATCAGTGTGTTATACACCATTGTCAGAATCCTATAGTAATAAAATTCTTACGTGGAATGGAGAAACATCTTGTGAAAGGATCTCCAGTAAACCCAGCCTGACAACTACAGATTGGACTGTGGTTGATCACTTCACAACGTGCATTCAGCCCACAAGTTCCTGGGNGAATATCTGATATATTACTAATAATGGGTGTACACAGTGTGTCCAGGTTCTGTTAGGACTGTGTACATTAAAAATACAAGACGTGAATTATTTTCAAATTTTGACTCTCTTTATTCAAAATAGTCTCCTTCTGAGTCAATACATAGCTGGAATCGACGGAAAAGTTTTCGAAAAGTCATTGTACTCCTTTTGTGGAATCAAATTTAAAACTGTGGTACATTCCCTTTGGATGTACTGGATGGTGTCGTGACGGTCTCCTNTGTATACAGGCACGGTTAGAAGGACAGTCGGTGTTGAGGACACATTCTGGACGACAGCCCTGATATGGATTCCCCACATAATCTGGGAGACAAGTACATGAGCCAGCTCCATTCTGTTCTCTACAGACTGCATTCGTTCCACATGGGGATGGCATACAAGGAGTTGGTCTTTCTTGTACCACAGGAGCTGAAAAACAAATGTCTTTAAACAGGTGGAAGAGGTGAAGAAATACAGAACGTCTAGCTCAGAAGAGAATCGTACAAGTATATTTCTCTTAAAATCAGAATCTATGGATGGCGGTATAAATAGTATTCTTACTTTGCTGCACTACGCACTGTATGAAGGGGTCTCCAGTGAAACCATTTGGACAGATGCAGTTTGGAGTGTGGCTAACTACACGACACTGTGCATTGGCTCCACATGATCCGGGGCATGGATCACGACATTTGAGATTGATGCATGCCAGGTGACTAGCACATTCACTATTACTGACACATTCTGGACGACAGTTGGGAGGAGTACCAGTGAAGTCAGGAAGGCATGAACAAGAGGGGCTATCTCCAGATACTTGGCATACGGCATTTGGTCCACATGGTGAGGGCTGACATGGATTCTGTGGTGCTGCCTGTGGCGGTTGTTCCGCTAAAACAGTATGAACCATGTGTCAGTAATGGTATGTGGTCAAGAGACAATTAATATATTCAGAACAGAAGTGAAAACTGAAAGAAGGAAGTTGTTTGTATCTTACGTATAGGCTGGCATCTGATAAATGGATCCCCTGTGAATCTAGGTGGACAGCTGCAGATTGGATTATGGTTCACGACTTCACAGCGAGCTCCTACACCGCAGGTGCCTGGACAAGGATTCCTACATTTCTGGTTGCTACAGGCCTCATTCTGACTACATTCAGAGCTCACTACACACTCTGGTCTACATGCTGGAGGACTGCCTATGAAGCCAGGAACACACGAGCACACAGCTTGGCCATTAATTTCACGACACTGGCTGTTTGGTCCACAAGGCGTTGGATTACATGGCTGAGTAACCACAGGTGCTATATTAAGAGGAGCAGAGTGACAATATTTAGCAAATATGCAGGACATAATACAATCTGACACTAAAGGATAGGCACCTTAAATTGTCAAGCATATGCAATACATACGTGGAATGGGTCTGCATTCAACAAAGGGATTTCCAGACATTCCCTGAGGGCAGCTGCATATTGGGATGTGATTCACTACATCACATGTGGCTCCTTGACCACAAGTGCCAGGACAAGGATCGGCACATTTGTTTCTGATACAAGCTCTGTTCCGTGGACAGTCGGTACTGAGGACACATTCAGGCCTACACCCAGCATAGGGGTCTCCCTGGTATTCTGGCAAGCAAGTACAGGTTCCATTGTTGCACTGAGCATTGGGTCCACAAGGTGATGGATTGCAGGGGTCTGATGGAGGAGGTGGCTGTGCTGAAAGACGAAATTTTTGTGTGATAATTTAATTGAGCACTCAGAGAAAATGGAAGTCATCAAGTTCTGTGTCATAATAGATATATGATATATTAATGGTAATGGTTGTAAGTTTCGAATATAACTGAATTACACTTTCTCTATAATGCATTTACTACTAAGTCATGTATAAAGCAATGATTGCTAAAGTTGCCTTACGTGGAGGTGGGCTGGGGAAGCAGTTGCTGAATGGATCTCCAGTGAAGCCCTCAGGGCAAGTACAAATAGGAGTGTGATTTATTACAACACATTGTGCACCAGCACCACATGATCCAGGGCATGGATCCTGACATCTTTCACGTATGCATGCCCTATTGCTCTGGCATTCAGGGTTAATACTGCATTCAGGCCGGCAATTTGGTGGAACACCCATGTAGTTGGCCAAGCAAGAGCAAGAAGGAGCACCTCCTATGTCTCTACATTGAGAGTTTGGTCCACATGGAGATGGCACACATGGGTTTACAGGCTGTGAAGGTGGAGTCTGAGCAACAGCTGTAGTAAACAAAACATAACAATAAGATAGCCAGGCTCAAAAAATCATTACAGTCATATTGCAAAGCCTGTGAATATTCTTCCTTCCAACAATTCAGCAGTATGGTTACATGAATACAAACTAATCCTTTGGTAAAAGGATAAATGTGCTGAAAGTTCTAACTATTGCTCATACATGTAACTACTTCTAGAAAAGGAAATATCTCTATATAAATTTTACATAAAATATATCAAATTTCAGCCTACTTTGAATACTTCAAAACAAAGTTCAAAGCCACACTTTAATGCACAATGACAACGTGGCTACTAACAGGCGTTACTTAGTCTTCTCTAAACAAAAAAAATGGGGCAGATTCTATGTATAACAATACGTTTATATGACAAATTTGTTTTAACAATTAAACTTTTCCAATGACAAAATTTTAATATTGCACTAGAGAAATGAAGGACATTTTGAGACTGTCATGCAGGATAGAAATAATTAGTCTTGGAGACATGAGTAATTATTTACTTTTGCCTATATATTTGTCTAGAGAAATCTGTTTAATTGTAAAGAAGATGATACATTGAGAAAAGAGTACTCTACTATTTTTTATATACAATTGTGACATGTACTACTTCAAAAGTAATATCTGTAGTAAACAATTTAGAAAAGCAAACTTTCAGTGTAAATGGTTCTGCTGCAGTTACATATCTTCCAGTTCTTCCATCTTATTTACGTAAGTAGCATTCCACTGTCTGCAGAATGCTTGAGTTAGAAATCTTTGGAAGAGTGAAATATGTCTGATTAAAATGCATATGAAACAACAAGAAATACTTTAGCTTTCTATAACACGAAAATATGAATTGAGGCTTACGTGGAATGGAGAAACATCTTGTGAAAGGATCTCCAGTAAACCCAGCCTGACAACTACAGATTGGACTGTGGTTGATCACTTCACAACGTGCATTCAGCCCACAAGTTCCTGGGCAGGGGTCCACGCATTTCTGATTCACACACGCTCTGTTCTGGGGACATTCTGAACTCACAACACACTCTGGCCGACAACCCGGCGGAGTGCCTATGTAATTCGGTAGGCAAGAGCATACTGCTTGTCCATTCACATTTCGACACTGACTGTTTGGACCGCAAGGAGATGGTACACAAGGATCTCCTGGTTGTTGCTGTACAGCTGAAGAAGAGGACAATAGGAAAATTAAGTTTCATAACAATACGATACTTCACATTTCTATATAAATGCAATATAACATATTCACTTCAGAAATTTATTAAATAAAGATGGACAGATGAGATATGAGATCTTACGTTGAGGTGGTAAGTTATTGCAGAATTTGAATGGATCTCCAGTGAAGCCTGGGCGACATGTGCAAGATGGTACGTGATTCACAACTTGGCAGTCTGCATTCTGGCCACAAGTTCCTGGACAAGGATCCTGACACTTGTTTCTTATACAGGCACGGTTTGAAGGGCAGTCTGTGTTGAGGACACATTCTGGACGACAGCCCTGATATGGATTCCCCACATAATCTGGGAGACAAGTACATGAGCCAGCTCCATTCTGTTCTCTACAGACTGCATTCGTTCCACATGGGGATGGCATACAAGGAGTTGGTCTTTCTTGTACCACAGGAGCTGAAAAACAAATGTCTTTAAACAGGTGGAAGAGGTGAAGAAATACAGAACGTCTAGCTCAGAAGAGAATCGTACAAGTATATTTCTCTTTAAATCAGAATCTATGGATGGCGGTATAAATAGTATTCTTACTTTGCTGCACTACGCACTGTATGAAGGGGTCTCCAGTGAAACCATTTGGACAGATGCAGTTTGGAGTGTGGCTAACTACACGACACTGTGCATTGGCTCCACATGATCCGGGGCATGGATCACGACATTTGAGATTGATGCATGCCAGGTGACTAGCACATTCACTATTACTGACACATTCTGGACGACAGTTGGGAGGAGTACCAGTGAAGTCAGGAAGGCATGAACAAGAGGGGCTATCTCCAGATACTTGGCATACGGCATTTGGTCCACATGGTGAGGGCTGACATGGATTCTGTGGTGCTGCCTGTGGCGGTTGTTCCGCTAAAACAGTATGAACCATGTGTCAGTAATGGTATGTGGTCAAGAGACAATTAATATATTCAGAACAGAAGTGAAAACTGAAAGAAGGAAGTTGTTTGTATCTTACGTATAGGCTGGCATCTGATAAATGGATCCCCTGTGAATCTAGGTGGACAGCTGCAGATTGGATTATGGTTCACGACTTCACAGCGAGCTCCTACACCGCAGGTGCCTGGACAAGGATTCCTACATTTCTGGTTGCTACAGGCCTCATTCTGACTACATTCAGAGCTCACTACACACTCTGGTCTACATGCTGGAGGACTGCCTATGAAGCCAGGAACACACGAGCACACAGCTTGGCCATTAATTTCACGACACTGGCTGTTTGGTCCACAAGGCGTTGGATTACATGGCTGAGTAACCACAGGTGCTATATTAAGAGGAGCAGAGTGACAATATTTAGCAAATATGCAGGACATAATACAATCTGACACTAAAGGATAGGCACCTTAAATTGTCAAGCATATGCAATACATACGTGGAATGGGTCTGCATTCAACAAAGGGATTTCCAGACATTCCCTGAGGGCAGCTGCATATTGGGATGTGATTCACTACATCACATGTGGCTCCTTGACCACAAGTGCCAGGACAAGGATCGGCACATTTGTTTCTGATACAAGCTCTGTTCCGTGGACAGTCGGTACTGAGGACACATTCAGGCCTACACCCAGCATAGGGGTCTCCCTGGTATTCTGGCAAGCAAGTACAGGTTCCATTGTTGCACTGAGCATTGGGTCCACAAGGTGATGGATTGCAGGGGTCTGATGGAGGAGGTGGCTGTGCTGAAAGACGAAATTTTTGTGTGATAATTTAATTGAGCACTCAGAGAAAATGGAAGTCATCAAGTTCTGTGTCATAATAAATATCTGATATATTACTAATAATGGGTGTACACAGTGTGTCCAGGTTCTGTTAGGACTGTGTACATTAAAAATACAAGACGTGAATTATTTTCAAATTTTGACTCTCTTTATTCAAAATAGTCTCCTTCTGAGTCAATACATAGCTGGAATCGACGGAAAAGTTTTCGAAAAGTCATTGTACTCCTTTTGTGGAATCAAATTTAAAACTGTGGTACATTCCCTTTGGATGTACTGGATGGTGTCGTGACGGTCTCCTTTCATTGCTAACTTAACTTTTGGGAACAACCAGAAATCTGTTGGAGCCACATCTGGCAAATACAGAGGATGATCAAGGACTGTGATTCCTATTCTGCCCAAGAAATCGTGCATGATCTTCGATTTGTGAGGTGGGGCATTGTCATGGAGGAGCGATCAGGAACCTTGCTCTTGATATTCATGTCAAATTCAAAGAATTCTCACCCACAGACGATTGAGGACGCCTAGATAATTATCAGAATTCACTGTCTGACCTTCTGGCAGAAATTATTTATGAATGATTTCTTTGGATTCAAAGAAAACTGTTAGCAGTGTCTTTACTCGACTTTTTTGCATGCGTACTTTCTATGGTTTCGGCTTTTCTTGGGATAAACCACGCAGCACTCTGCTGCTTTGTGAGAGGCTCGTATTGAAAACACCATGTCTCGTCACCAGTAACACTCGATTTTGTAAATTTGGTATCACTTTGAGCCGACTGTAACATGTTTTGTAGTGTTCCACTCGGGCATTTTTTTCATCACCTGACAGCGCGTGCGGTGATAAATGCACATAGAGCTTCCATTTGCCAAATCCTTGATCAAAATTTGATATACAGTACTTTTTGGTATTCCCAAAAGCTCCTCGATGAGTCTTGCAGAAAAACATCTGTCTGATGCAAGGATTTCAGTCACATTTTTCACATTTTCTTCAGTGCGACTTGTTCTTGGCTTTGATGCACATGAAGCATCTTCAATGTCCTCCCTGCCGTCATGAAATAAAGCATACCATCAAAAAATGTTAGAGCGTCTCAAACAATCACGAACGTACATACTTTTCTTCATCTTGTACGTTTCTCTGGCTGTTTTGCCTAACTTCAAACAGATTTTTGATGTTGGCTCTCTGTTCAACTGCCATTTTCCGATGAGCATCAGAAGAGTTCTGTTACATTGAAAGTCAGAACATATGATGCAGCGATGCATGCGCTTTGAAATTACAGACAGCCACAGCTCAAACTTCAAGAATCTTTGTTATGCCCTAAGGCCTACATACAGGTTAATATGTTTTTATGTTAGACTAGAATAAGTGCTTTTAGAATATGGTTAGGGAATATGAAAATGGAATGTACTAGGAAGTAGGAGCCCTATGGGGAATTCTAATTACGAGTAGTTAGGCAATGGCATGGTAACTCGAGTGTTACCGCATCAGCATAATGATGCTGATGGGAAGGAAGTAGGTTACAAGAAAGTAGGCCAGAAAGACGCTTTGAGTTAAGAACGCTGAGTCAAAGGGACAGGACTGACTGGGCTGCGTGAACCCCTGTCAACTGTCAACCAATTAGGGCCAGCTACCCCAGCGATATTACGTCAATATGGGCAGGTGTACACATTCCCGGAAGATGATGAGTCATCGAAAAGAGGGTACAAAACCTGATCTCGGAGGAGAGGGATTACTGATTATGGACTGATTAATCTCATCAGAGTGTTTGGCCAAAAGCTATCGGTTGTAATGACACTGAGTGGGTGCTGGGTGGCGGCGTGCTTCTGTATCTTCATCGCAAGTAAGTGGAGCTACTTCTTATAGCCATGGAACCTAAGGGCTCTCTGTTCAACCGCCATTTTCCGACGAGCATCGGAACACTACTGTTACATTCAAAGTCAGAACACATGATGCAGCGATGCGTGCGCTTTCAAATTACAGACAGCCACAGCTGAAACTTCAAGAATCTTAATGTCACAACTCACCAACAGATGCCATTGCAGGAGAAAATTAAAAAAAAATGATTCCTAAAGGATCCTGGACACACCGTGTAAGTTTCGAATATAACTGAATTACACTTTCTCTATAATGCATTTACTACTAAGTCATGTATAAAGCAATGATTGCTAAAGTTGCCTTACGTGGAGGTGGGCTGGGGAAGCAGTTGCTGAATGGATCTCCAGTGAAGCCCTCAGGGCAAGTACAAATAGGAGTGTGATTTATTACAACACATTGTGCACCAGCACCACATGATCCAGGGCATGGATCCTGACATCTTTCACGTATGCATGCCCTATTGCTCTGGCATTCAGGGTTAATACTGCATTCAGGCCGGCAATTTGGTGGAACACCCATGTAGTTGGCCAAGCAAGAGCAAGAAGGAGCACCTCCTATGTCTCTACATTGAGAGTTTGGTCCACATGGAGATGGCACACATGGGTTTACAGGCTGTGAAGGCGGAGTCTGAGCAACAGCTGTAGTAAACAAAACATAACAATAAGATAGCCAGGCTCAAAAATCATTACAGTCATATTGCAAAGCCTGTGAATATTCTTCCTTGCAACAATTCAGCAGTATGGTTACATGAATACAAACTAATCCTTTGGTAAAAGGATAAATGTGCTGAAAGTTCTAACTATTGCTCATATATCTAACTATTTCTAGAAAAGGAAATATCTCTATATAAATTTTACATAAAATATATCAAATTTCAGCCTACTTTGAATACTTCAAAACAAAGTTCAAAGCCACACTTTAATGCACAATGACAATGTGGCTACTAACAGGCATTACTTAGTCTTCTCTAAAAAAAATGGGGAAGATTCTATGTATAACAATACATTTATACGACAAATTTGTTTTAACATTTAAACTTTTCCAATGACAAAATTTGAATATTGCACTAGAGAAATGAAGGACATTTTGAGACTGTCATGCAGGATAGAAATAATTAGTCTTGGAGACATGAGTAATTATTTACTTTTGCCTATATATTTGTCTAGAGAAATCTGTTTAATTGTAAAGAAGATGATACATTGAGAAAAGAGTACTCTACTATTTTTTATATACAATTGTGACATGTACTACTTCAAAAGTNAATAAAAATAATTAGTGTTGGAGACATGACTAATTATTTACTTTGCTAATATATTTGTGCAGAGAAATCTGTTTAATTGTAAAGAAGCTGATAACTTAAGAAAACAGTATTCTACTATTTTATATATAATTGTGACATGTACTACTTCAAAAGTAATATCTGTAGTAAACAATTTAGAAAAGCAAACTTTCAGTGTAAATGGTTCTGCTGCAGTTACATAACTTCCAGTTCTTCCATCTTTTTTACGTAACTAGCATTCCACTGTCTGCAGAATGCTTGAGTTAGAAATCTTTGGAAGAGTGAAATATATCTGAATAAAATGCATATGAAACAACAAGAAATACTTTAGCTTTCTATAACAGGGAAATATGAATTGAGGCTTACGTGGAATGGAGAAACATCTTGTGAAAGGATCTCCAGTAAACCCAGCCTGACAACTACAGATTGGACTGTGGTTGATCACTTCACAACGTGCATTCAGCCCACAAGTTCCTGGGCAGGGGTCCACGCATTTCTGATTCACACACGCTCTGTTCTGGGGACATTCTGAACTCACAACACACTCTGGCCGACAACCCGGCGGAGTGCCTATGTAATTCGGTAGGCAAGAGCATACTGCTTGTCCATTCACATTTCGACACTGACTGTTTGGTCCGCAAGGAGATGGTACACAAGGATCTCCTGGTTGTTGCTGTACAGCTGAAGAAGAGGACAATAGGAAAATTAAGTTCCATAACAATACAATACTTCACATTTCTATATAAATGCAATATAACATATTCACTTCAGAAATTTATTAAATAAAGATGGACAGATGAGATATGAGATCTTACGTTGAGGTGGTAAGTTATTGCAGAATTTGAATGGATCTCCAGTGAAGCCTGGGCGACATGTGCAAGATGGTACGTGATTCACAACTTGGCAGTCTGCATTCTGGCCACAAGTTCCTGGACAAGGATCCTGACACTTGTTTCTTATACAGGCACGGTTTGAAGGGCAGTCTGTGTTGAGGACACATTCTGGACGACAGCCCTGATATGGATTCCCCACATAATCTGGGAGACAAGTACATGAGCCAGCTCCATTCTGTTCTCTACAGACTGCATTCGTTCCACATGGGGATGGTATACAAGGAGTTGGTCTTTCTTGTACCACAGGAGCTGAAAAACAAATGTCTTTAAACAGGTGGAAGAGGTGAAGAAATACAGAACGTCTAACTCAGAAGAGAATCGTACAAGTATATTTCTCTTTAAATCAGAATCTATGGATGGCGGTATAAATAGTATTCTTACTTTGCTGCACTACGCACTGTATGAAGGGGTCTCCAGTGAAACCATTTGGACAGATGCAGTTTGGAGTGTGGCTAACTACACGACACTGTGCATTGGCTCCACATGATCCGGGGCATGGATCACGACATTTGAGATTGATGCATGCCAGGTGACTAGCACATTCACTATTACTGACACATTCTGGACGACAGTTGGGAGGAGTACCAGTGAAGTCAGGAAGGCATGAACATGAGGGGCTATCTCCAGATACTTGGCATACGGCATTTGGTCCACATGGTGGGGGCTGACATGGATTCTGTGGTGCTGCCTGTGGCGGTTGTTCCGCTAAAACAGTATGAACCATGTGTCAGTAATGGTATGTGGTCAAGAGACAATTAATATATTCAGAACAGAAGTGAAAACTGAAAGAAGGAAGTTGTTTGTATCTTACGTATAGGCTGGCATCTGATAAATGGATCCCCTGTGAATCTAGGTGGACAGCTGCAGATTGGATTATGGTTCACGACTTCACAGCGAGCTCCTACACCGCAGGTGCCTGGACAAGGATTCCTACATTTCTGGTTGCTACAGGCCTCATTCTGACTACATTCAGAGCTCACTACACACTCTGGTCTACATGCTGGAGGACTGCCTATGAAGCCAGGAACACACGAGCACACAGCTTGGCCATTAATTTCACGACACTGGCTGTTTGGTCCACAAGGCGTTGGATTACATGGCTGAGTAACCACAGGTGCTATATTAAGAGGAGCAGAGTGACAATATTTAGCAAATATGCAGGACATAATACAATCTGACACTAAAGGATAGGCACCTTAAATTGTCAAGCATATGCAATACATACGTGGAATGGGTCTGCATTCAACAAAGGGATTTCCAGACATTCCCTGAGGGCAGCTGCATATTGGGATGTGATTCACTACATCACATGTGGCTCCTTGACCACAAGTGCCAGGACAAGGATCGGCACATTTGTTTCTGATACAAGCTCTGTTCCGTGGACAGTCGGTACTGAGGACACATTCAGGCCTACACCCAGCATAGGGGTCTCCCTGGTATTCTGGCAAGCAAGTACAGGTTCCATTGTTGCACTGAGCATTGGGTCCACAAGGTGATGGATTGCAGGGGTCTGATGGAGGAGGTGGCTGTGCTGAAAGACGAAATTTTTGTGTGATAATTTAATTGAGCACTCAGAGAAAATGGAAGTCATCAAGTTCTGTGTCATAATAGATATATGATATATTAATGGTTGTGGTTGTAAGTTTCGAATATAACTGAATTACACTTTCTCTATAATGCATTTACTACTAAGTCATGTATAAAGCAATGATTGCTAAAGTTGCCTTACGTGGAGGTGGGCTGGGGAAGCAGTTGCTGAATGGATCTCCAGTGAAGCCCTCAGGGCAAGTACAAATAGGAGTGTGATTTATTACAACACATTGTGCACCAGCACCACATGATCCAGGGCATGGATCCTGACATCTTTCACGTATGCATGCCCTATTGCTCTGGCATTCAGGGTTAATACTGCATTCAGGCCGGCAATTTGGTGGAACACCCATGTAGTTGGCCAAGCAAGAGCAAGAAGGAGCACCTCCTATGTCTCTACATTGAGAGTTTGGTCCACATGGAGATGGCACACATGGGTTTACAGGCTGTGAAGGTGGAGTCTGAGCAACAGCTGTAGTAAACAAAACATAACAATAAGATAGCAAGGCTCAAAAAATCATCACAGTCGTATTGCAAAGCCTGTGAATATTCTTCCTTCCAACAATTGAGCAGTATGGTTACATGATTACAAACTAACCCTTTTGTAAAAGGATAAATGTGCTGAAAGTTCTAACCATTTCTCATATATGTAACTATTTCTAGAAAAGAAAAAAATCTGTATAAATTTACATAATATATATCAAATTTGAGCCTACTAGGAATACTTCAAAACAAAGTTCAAAGCCATACTTTAATGCATAATGACGACGTGGCTACTAACAAGTGTTACTTAATCTTCTCTACACAAAATAAATATGGCAGATTCTATGTATAACAATATGTTTATGTTGAGAATCTAGTAATGTAAAAATGTTCATGTTGGTAATAGTCTTCTATATTCATTTGTTTTTGTATTTATTATAATAACAAGTTCTTCTTATCCAATA